TAAAATATTATAAAATAAAAGTCCATTAAAATAGAAAGTATTTACTTACATACAATTCCTAGATTGCATCAATTAATTAACAAAAAAAATTTTTTAAATTATTATTATACTATAATTTAATATTGTGGCTGGCCAGTAACCTATAAATAATAACTATTCTCCGGGCTCGGCTATCAACTAGAGATCTGGGGTCGGGCCTTAGAAATTTTTTAAAATATATCTACAATTTATCAATTTTATGTTTGAATTTTTTTTATTGTAAAATAAAAAATATGTGATTTTATTTTAAAGAAAAAGTAGATGCCATATAGCGAATATCTTTTATTTTGAAGTAATTTAAAAAAAAAAATTAATTTCTATATTTAAATATATTTTAAACTCTATTAATTATATACCAAATTCAATAAGGTTAAATAAAAAATATATTATATTTTACATTTAATTAACATAAAATCTAGAATATTAAACTCTACAGTTACGAAATATTTTATCTTGATAAATTTTTGTTTATATATTTAAAATCTATTCATTTAAATAAACTCAGATTTTTATATTCATAAATCCTTCTATGAATAATTTTATATCAACAATACAAAATCTAAAGTCCTTATTAGGTAACTACTTTTTAGTACTTTTAGGTTAAAAAAAACTAACAACAATCCTTAGAGATCCATTTATGCCTTGGACAAAGAATATCTCTCGAGATATGTAGATCAAATTTTATATCCATATCGGCTCTATGCCTGGCCTGATAATTAATCTTTTTAATCCCCCCCCTCCTCCCCTTTCGTTTTTTAAATAATATAGTTTATATAATTTATATTTGATTTTTTGAAATAATATATATATTTGTAATATTCTGAATATTCGATATTGCAGAAAAAAAAAAATTAACTTAAAGGATCTCTAATGATTTGAATCATGGGCGTCACTAAGTCTTTACAATCATAAGGGGCTTAAAAAATTTTAAAATTATTTTCGAAATTACCCTCTTTTTACTTTGAAGCATTATCCTAATTTACCTTTTTTGAGTGATATAAATAATAAATATCTAATCTTGAGAGGGCTCTTCAAATTTTATGGGGCTCGAGCTCCTGCACTCCTTCCCATCCCCAATGACGCTCAGCGTCTACATGAGCGGGAGGGGTAGGAACAGTTCGCATCCTATTTTTTTGAAGGGGTGGGGGATAGGGGATAGGCTTTAATGGGGGTAGGATAAATTTTTTTGGGGGGTTATTTATTAAATTTTGAGATGAAATAGGACATTATTTGCTGTAAAAATTAATACTTTTATATAACAAATTCTGAAAAAAACCATTTAAAAAAAAACAAGTTAAGTTTTAGTTTTAATATTAAATTTCATTTCTACTTTTAAAAAATAAAATTATAATAATATAAAATGATAATATGTACAATAATCAACTAGTATATATATATATACTAAAACATTTCAATCAACTGGTATATATGTAAAAAAAACATTTAAATTAATACTCAATAAATTATTTCACAAATTTGAATAAACAACCCAATTAACATTCCCCTCCTCGACAAAGCATTAAGTTGCTGCTCGGTGGGCGCATAAGTCTGTTTGAGTTGGGTGAGTCCATACGTTTTCGTCGGTTAGAAAAGTTGCTGTACGTTATCATTATATTGATAAAATTTGAATATACGGAACAAAAGAATTTGGAATAAAATTTTCAGAATATGGAATGATGAATATGTTGAATTGCGTAAGAATGAATTATATAAATATGGGGAATTCCATAAGAATGATAAATCAAAAAAAAAATTATTATATAATATTTCGCGTTTTTTGAAAATTTTGCGTTTTAGTGTTCAATTAATTTTTTTGCGTTTTAGTCTCCAATTTATTTTTTCGCGTTTTAGTCTTTCGCGTTTTAGTGTTAAATTTATTTATAATTATAAATTAATATTTTCAATCCTGAGGTTAAGATATGCAAATAAAATACTATTCACATTTCCCTCTCTTTTAAAAAAAAAATTTAAATTTCACACCCTAGTTTTAATTCAATAAGTGCTTTTTTTTAAAATAATACTTCATAAGATAATTTTTAGAAAATGATCTCATCACATCATTTAAATACTTATCTAAAATAAAGATGTTACATAATTTGTCTTCAAAAGCTTTATTTCAAGAACATTTTTATCATATTAAGTATTACTTATAAAGGTTATTTAAATCAATCATGTGATTTCAACCTTTTAATTCATGTTTTAATTACATTTTAATATATTTAAAATTAAAGTTTTATCTTCTTGTTTAGGATTTTTAATGGTATATTTTTAATTATATCTAAAAATTTATCTTTATTAAGTAAATAATTTTTTTAAGGCTTTATATGTGTTCAAATAAGTCCATTATTGATTTACATTTAAGTTATTTTAATAAGTAAATTTACAACATGCCTTTATCTCGGCAAAAAATTTTAATTTATAATAACTTTCTTCTTATGTGGATTAGAATAATAAGTAATCATCATTGATCTCAAATATTGAATTCATAACCTAACGTCCAACTTCCATATTGGTTCTTTCTAGGTTGTCACCTTAGGTTAGGTGCTGGTTATCATATTCCAGTCCAACATCCAGAGCCAGGACACCATGAAGAAAGAAGCTTTTTGCATGAAAGAACGTACTAAGGTATGATTCTTGGTCATCTCAATAGATTGTCATCTCAATAGATTGTCATCTCAATAGATTGTCATCTCAATAGATTGTCATCTCAATAGATTGTCATCTCAATAGATTGTCATCTCAATAGATTGTCATCTCAATAAATAGGCAGTCACATCAATAGATTAGGTTCAATAGGTGCATCTCAATAATTGATCAATAGATTAGGTAGTCATCACAATAGATTCATCAATAGATTAGGTAATCATCTCAATAGGTAGTCATCTCAATAGGTAGTTATTTCAATAGGTAGTCATCTCGATAGTTTAGGTAGTCATCTCATAATCTCGATAGGTTAGGTAGTCATCTCATAATCTCGATAGGTTAGGTAGCCATCTCATTCTAGTCCACCACCCAGAGCCGGGGCATTGTCCATAATTAGCATTAAGTTTATTGTCCACAATAAAAATTTTACTTTAAGAAAATACTATATGTTTTAAGTTATGAATTTCATATCGGAAAAAAAAATTATGTTCATCGTCAAACGGAAATAAATAATTCTATGTCTTTAAATTTTATATCGTCAAAGCAAATAAAAAAAAAATCTTTTTAATTAATTTTCTTTTTTACTTTTTTTTTTTTAAATTTTAAGGCAAATTTTATATATTTTATCTTTTTTTTTAACAAAAACGTGCCGGGGCACCATGAAAGAAACAAAAAAATAATTAAGTTGTATTTTGTTTTAAATAAATTTTATTACTTTTTTAAAAAATAAAATAATAATAATAATATAAAATGATCCTCAATGTATAATAATCGACTAATATATATACTAAAACATTTCAATCAACTGGTATATGTAAAAAAACATTTAAATTAATACTTAATAAATTATTTCACAAATTTGAATAAACAACACAATATGTTACAAAACATTTAAATTAATACTCAATAAATTATTTCACAAATTTGAATAAACAACCCAATTAACAAAATCTATATATTGTAAACTATCATATTGTTTTCCAAATAAAACTTTCTGCTATCCTTTAAAATATAATTTAAAAGGTTTAGATATTTCAGCAAGCTCATAATGCCATAATAATTAATTTATTGTAAATAATTGAGGTTTTAATTGAATTTATGATCTAAAAAATAAATTATTTATATTCACTAAATATCGATAGTTGGTAGATTGATTAATTTAAGTTATCCTTTATAAATTATATGCAAAGAGTATCAATAAATTAAAAAGGTAAAAATAATAATAGGGAGACACCGCCGCCGAAGGTGGTAAATTTTTTAGGGGGGTAGGCAAAGGTTTTTGAAGGGGGTTTGCATCCAGTGAAAATCCTGTCATGTAGACGCTGATGACGCTACTGATTTGAATGTGTGAAGTAAAATTCTAACATATCTAAAAATAATACCCATTTATACCTCTTCACACTTAAATATATTTTTTAAGCTTGCCTTTGGCGTTCATTTAGGATATTTTCAGATTCACCGGTATAATTATTAGATTAAAATTTTCTCAAACATAGCTTTTTTAAAATATTATTTTTTGCAATTTACACTTGGTTATTTATTTAACCTATTAATAGTGTTGTTAAAAAGCTCGATTTTGCTAAAATTTAAATTAAGAATTTAGCCAAAATAATATACGCAAGCCTCGAAATTTTCAATAATATATCCAAGACTTTATGCCATCTATGGGCAAATTTCCACCCGTATTATTTTTGACTAATATATTGATATCCAATCGAACCGTTTAAGTATCCTACTTATCAATGTCAAAGGAATAAATAAGTTAATGTTAGAGACTGCCCAAGATTTATTAGAATACAAAAGATCTGTTTTTTATGTATTAAGAATTTGTGTGTTTTATCCCTCCCCCCAAGAGTAGACACAACTGAGTTGTCTTCAGAAATAATACGATTCTTGCTGGATTCATATCCAGAAACATCAGATTGGCAAGCGACGCTCTTATCTAGTGTTGTCAAACAGCTCTATTTAGCCTATTTTAAATTAAGATTTTAGCCAAAATAAAATAATGCAGGCCTCATAATTTTGTTAATATAAACCTTCTGCCATCAAAATCTTTAAGCTTTTATAATATTTATAGCGAAATTTGGGTTAGCCATTATTGAAAAAAACTAGCCGTTTAACAATACTACTCTTATAGACTAGGCCACATAAGCTTACCAAAAATTACAATGTTTTAAATATATATTATGACATAATTTGGAAGTCTCCAAATGAAAAATAAACAATATACCAATTTGTAATTATAAGAATAAATAAAATAAATATACGCCATCTACATTTATTTTCTAAATTCTTAACTTTTTCATTATCGAAAATTTTAAAATCACATTTTTCGCTTTTTAATATGTATCGCATTCATATTTAATTTCAATTCTATTTTAGTAAATTCTTTTAGATTCCTAAATTCCAATGGTTCATGATAAAATTGCAATATTAGATGCTGGTGCCCAATATGGGAAAGTAATGTATTATAGTGAAATCACTAATTTTATATTCAATTAAGTTGATAGATAGAGCACTTAGAGAATTATGTGTAGAATCAATCATTATGCCTATGGATACTCCTCTATCAGTGTTATTAAGTGATGTAAAAACATCAGGTAATCCATTTAAAGCAATTATCATATCTGGAGGCCCAGGTTCTGTTTATGATACATATTCTGCACACTGCCATCCTTCAATATTTAACTCATTTGTCAGTCCATCATCAAACGAGTCAACAATACCTATTTTGGGAATATGCTATGGATTTCAAGTAATATTTTTATAAATTATATTATACATAATTGTATTTCAGTTAATAAATCATGTGTTTGATGGTGTTATACAACCTGCAGCCTCTAGGGAAGATGGAGTACTACCAGTCAAATTAGATACTCATTCTTTGTTATATAAGTTTACTATTTATGAATTTGTTAAATAACTTATTAATTTGTAACAGAGGTATAAATGCTGACCAAATGGTTTTATTAACTCATGGTGATAGTTTGATTGAATTAGGAAAAGGATTAAAATCAAATGCTCTTTCTGGTCCATTAGTTGTAGGTAAGATTATAAATATGAAATATTATACAAATATACATATTTATTTGTAAATAATTATTTTTGTTGAACAAGGATTTTACATTTTATTTGATTTACAACATTAACTATCAAAATTTACAACATTTTGGTAAAACATATAATTATTTTATAGCTGATAAAATTTTGTTACACAGATAATTATCAGGTGTAGTACTAGTTCTGTCTCACATTAGTAATATTATTGTTATTACTTCACTTATCATCTCATTTAGACCTAATTTAATAATACTATTATGCGAGTTTGTTAAATTCCTTCTAAAAAATTTTTTTTAATTATTGACAAATATATATTTTATATATATAATAATTTTTTAAGGTTAGAATATATTAAAATGACAATTTTAATTTTAATATGCTTACATTTGAGGTTCAATACCTGACCTAATCAATTAAGATTTTTATGGGATATTTTTTTTTAGTTAATAACTTTTTTATGAATAATGATTTATTTAATTGTTTTTAAATATTATATTATTATACAAATATTATAGATTTTTCTCATAATCGCACAATTTAAAATATATATATATAAAGACAACACACAATATATATTAATGTTAAAAATAATCATCTTTCAGGATGAGGCTACTCATGAAGCTAATTTGCCTTGTGATTAGCTTTGGTGTGTCTTTGTCTCAAGAAATTTTTTTTACAAGGTTTGTTCATTAGTTTATGAATGAAACCAAGTTCCTTGAAAAAGGATAAAGTATGATTCCCAAAGTTTGTTAAGGTGGTGGAAATTATAGGAATGAGTATGTGTTGTTGTGAAATTTTTGAATATTTTGATATTTTTAGTTTACTCCTTTTTCTCAAGGATGTTAAGTGGTTGATTGGTAGGAGTCAATGGATCAATGAACAATTAATCCCATATCAGGAATTGACCTCGCTTCTAAGGAATTTGAGAAAATCTGTACGTTTCCCATCAGATTTGAAAATGCCTGAAGGTGCAAGAATAGATGGAATTTGAGCTGATCTCAAGACTCTAAGGATAATTGAATTACATAAATTATGTCTAACAATTTGACCATTACAAGAACGAAAATGAAAGTTATGTTTTCCACTACCCTCGATGGTATAACTGCAGTCAGAGCAAGTATCAGGTTGAGTTATTAAATACCAAAGGTTGTTAAGGTGGTGGAAATTATAGGAATTAATATATGTTCTTGTATTGGAAGGAGCCAATGGATCAATGCGAAATCATGAATTGACCTCACTTCCATAGAATTTAAGAAATTCCATCTGGACGTTTCCCGTTAGACCTAAAAAGACCTGGAGGTTCAAGGATAGATTAAATTTGAGCTGATCTTAATGACCTAAAGATAATCGAATTACATAAATTATGTTTAACAGTTCTACCTTTACAAGAACGACAGCATAGGCTATGTTTTTCATTACCCTCGATGGTCTTGAGAAAGATGAGTAACTAAAAATCGTAAATAGTTCAGCATTTCTATAATTTTCACCGCCACATGATAACCTTTGGAAATCGCTCTTTATCCTACTTCAAGGAACTTGGGTTCTCATATTCGGAAACTTACGTCGTTTACATTTAATAATTGGTAATCGGGTCTATCCCTTGTATTGGTGTGTTCAATCGGGTAGTGGGATGTTTAGAGAAGGGTTTAGCAGAAAATTTGCTGAATGGATTCAAGGCATGGGCGGATGTTTAGAGAAGGGTTTAGAAGAATGGATTCGAGGCATGGCTAGCGGATGTTTAGAGAAGGGTTTAGCGGAAAATTTTCTAAATAGATTCAAGGCATAGGTAAGGGTAAGTATACAAAAAAAAATTTTTTTTATGTAGAACTAGAAGTAGAACCCTGGTTTGAATGGGGGAAATAGATAAAAAAAATTTGCAATTGTTTTTTTTTCTTCTTTTCGATTTGACATGCTCATACTCGTTACAATGACATATAAATAATACCTAGACTGACGGCGCATTCGTAATAATGCATTTGATAGCGTCATTGAATGCAAATCAGCTGTAGCCGCCATTTTGGTAACCCGTAATAGTTAATTATTCTCATGTTAGAAACTTTAATGTTGAATTGACAGCTTTGCTTCCTTATTAGCATCGATGAGCAAGGCAATTTCTTTAATAAAGTTTGATTCAAGACATAGGGAATGAATCGGCATCTCGTTTAAAATTTTTCAATAATGATGGCGGGTAATCAAAATGGCGTCCTCAGCTGTTTATCATCGATGTACACTTTCAATGAATGCATCCTCCAGTCTAAGGTATTATTATACCATGTCATTAACTCAATATTAGTAAAAATGGGCACCAAAATATTTAGTTTTAAAAAAAATGAATGACATATAATCAGGGTTGGCAAGTCGGTCAATTGACCGGAATATTTGACCTGTCAAATACGGTTATATACTCTAAAAAATTTAAAGGAAAAATAAATTAAAAATATGTTTATAAAAAGGCAAAAACGATGTAAATACATGTGATCACAATGTTTACTTATTTTTTGGGTCCACAATATCAAGAGGAGAAATCACTAGTAGTGAAATTAATGAAGGATATAATTCAAGAATTAGCTATTTTGCAAGATAGTGATGACCAACATATTTTAAGTGATATAATTAATTTCAGAAGCAAAAACAGCATGTTTAATATAGCAAATTATGTAGAAAGTAGTAATTTCCAGAAACAATCAATTCCGACCTCAAGTTAATAGATTAAACTTTGTCTACCCTGCCCATTAAGAGACTAACAATTCCTAGTTCTACTTCTTCTTTAGTCAGAAATAGGTCGATTTGGGTTAATATTCTTATGAAAATAGAAATCGATTTAAAATCTAAGACATCAGGAAAATTGATTAAAAAATATTAAAGAAAATGATAATATTGAATATGAATCAGAATAAGACTCTGATACAGATAGCTTACACATTAGTTATTGAATGACAATGAATTTAAAAAATTAATATTATAGATTCATTTTACTATTATATTCAAAATAAAGTTAATATTAACTTAAAAAACATATATTTGAATTTGACCACAACCCTGCTTATAATATTACCTAGACTGACGATGCATCCATTAAAAGCGTACATCAATGAAAAACAGCTGGCGACGTCATTTTGGTTACCCATATAATTATTAAAAATTTTAAACAAGATGCTACTTTATTCCGATGTCTGACACAAACTCTGCTAAAGAATTGCCTGATCATCGAGATAGTAAGGAAGCAAGTTATCAATTTAATCTTAGTTCTGAACATGAGAATAATCAACTATACGGGTTACCAAAACTGGCGGGTCCAGCTGATTTGCATTCAACGACACTTTCAAATGCATTATTATGATTGGCGGGCGTCAGTCTAAGGTATTATTATATGTCATTGATAAAAAAAAATACACTGTATATATTTGTCAGGACTTTCGAAATGCCAAATAACCTTTAAACTAAGGCGAAATTTTTTTTTACTGATACGGAAAAAAAAAATTGCTCGAATATTTTTGTGCATAATTGCTGATTTTGCGTGTCCACACGTGATTGTCATCGTATACGCCTGATTCGTGAAGGATCGATCACGTGCTTGCTAGCAGTTGTCAACGGCTCGATTTGAGTCGATTTTCCAAACAAGGGCCAACTCGATATTATCCAGAAATGTATCAGCGCGACGATTTTTTGCTGCTCATAGATGGGCACAAAGATTGGAAATATCGGTGAACGAAATCTCGAAGCTTATCAGATTTGAGCCTTCTTCTTTCTTTTTTTCTTTCTTCCTTTCTTTCTTTCTTTGTAAAATTTTTCAATTACACAATTATTTTACAATTTTTCCTCATTTTTCTTTTTTTTGTTAAAGACTGAACTTTTATTTTAAGAAATTTAAATTTTTATAAAAATATTTTAAAGATTTTCATCAAGTTTTTTTTCTTCATTCCACTAGGTTTGATTTTTTTAACGATTTTTTTTTTCGACTAAAGAAAAAAATCAAAATTTTTTTCTTAAAAATTATCTTTCCCCGAGGAAAGGTAATTATTTATTTTTTTTTATATATTTATATCGGGTTGGTAATTAGAAACACCTTCTTAGTGAGAATTACGTTATTTTATTATTTTTCGATCGATTTTTTTTAGTGGATATCGTGCGCATGTTCTGTTATTAAATAAATATTTTTTAAAAAAAAAAAAATAAGACGCCTTTTTTTTATATCTAGCTCCTAATATTTATTTGTCATTTTTGATCGAAGTTAAATGATATCATTTTTTTACGAATACCAGCTGTTGGCTCGATCCGGGTTGTCAACATAAACTCGATCCGGGTTGTCAACATAAACTCGATCCGGGTTGTCAACATAAACTCGATCCGGGTTGTCAACATAAACTCGATCCGGGTTGTCAACATAAACTCGATCCGGGTTGTCAACATAAACTCGATCCGGGTTGTCAACATAAACTCGACCCGGAATGGCCTTAAAATTGTACGGTTTTGAAAAATGCGGGACCTTTTGGGCCTTAGAAAAAAAAATACACTGGGCCTGGGGGTTAGAAAAATGGGGGAAAAAAATTCGGGTCTAACCGATGACATATGCATTCAGTGTACATCGATGAAAAACAGCTGGGCCCGCCATTTTGGAAACCCATATACTAATTATCCTCATGTTAAAAAACTACTATTAAATTGATAATTTGCTTCCCTATTTTCTCGATGACGAGGCAATTCTTAAGTTTGCGTCAGACATAGGAATAAAATTGACCTCTCGTTTAATATTTTTTAATAATGATATGGGTAATCAAAATGGCGTCCCCAGCTGTTTTTCATCGCTGTACACTTTTAATGAAAGCATCATCAGTCTAGGTATTGTTACATATGTCATTCCTTCTGACCATATGATATGGCCATTTTATACAAAAAATATATATATAACCCCAAATTAGCCCATCACAGATATAATATATTATTTTTTTCAAGCCTAGAAGATAAAGGAACCATTATTCTTAATATGAATTTTTTTAAAAAAAATATTACTCATTGTTGTTAGAACCCTCATGCAACATTGCAGAGCCAATATCAAAAATATATACTATCTCCACCGATCCACACATCCAAAATCCTTTTTTTTTTAAATTTTAAACTTAAAATGGTATAAATAATTGGATTCTTAGGATATTTACCCAACCACCGAGATGTTACTTATAAAACGATTCCGCAATCCTTTAAGGTCGCGTCTTAACTGGAGTTTTCGAGTGATCTAGCGTTTCGCTGTTAAGCCTTTGTTTTTAAATTAACGGGGAAAACAAAGCTTAAACACAAAATTAAGCTTTTAGTAGTGTTCGGCTTTGAGCCGTTAGAAATGTTGCCTAAACCACATGATTTCGCTAATAGGTGTCCAAACGTTTATGCCATCTTATGACCAAAGATCTTCAGGCCTGCGAAAATATTATCCGATACTTTTTTCTTCTTCTTTGGAAACACTTTACAAAGTTACAAAAAATGATAAATTGTAACTTTTAAAATTATCAATATTATATATATACTTTATTTATTTTTTTATCAAAAAAAAATTCTCCATGAAAATCAAAAGGATTAGAACACGAGAAGCACAAGATATACGGAGTTCAATTTCACGTTGAAGTGGACCTGACCCCCTGTGGCAAGGATATTCTCAGGAATTTTGTATTCAACATAGCTAATTGTAAGCCCAACTTCACTCTCCCCAACAGGGAGTTGGCCTGTCTCGAAGAAATCAAAAGCAAGGTCAAGAACGGACATGTTTTGGTACGCGTTATATATATATTCACATCCGGTTACAACAATTGCACCGCTCTTTGTATCCCCCGAATACTCTGGCAGTGCCACTATTTATAATAGATTTGATTTTTTTTCTAAAATGCGCAGTATGACCCCCCCTAAAACATTAATATTTGACAGTATGTTTGATACCGTTCACAAGAAATGGCGCCCAATTAAGTGACCACCATCTTTATTTAATTTTAGGGGGGGGGGGGGTAAATATAAAATTCGCTAGGAAACAAATGGTCGAAAGAAAATATTTGATATAAAAATTAAAAATTTAACGTTTTAAACGAAAAAAAAAATTAAAAAATAAATATAGCTATTGCTAAGCGGCGGTGTCGATTCTTGCACGTGTTTAGCCCTGCTTAAAAAGTGTCTCAGACCCGAACAAATAATAGCTCTGCATATCGACAACGGATTCCTGAGGCACCAAGAAAGCATGCTCATCGAGAAAAATCTATCCAAAACACTGGGATTGCCAATCAAAGGTTCCTATGATCCGGAAAATTTTCATATCACACGCTTATATACTAATATATATGTATATATATATATATATATATATCTTTCCTTATATAAACATTTAAAGTGGTTAACGCCTCTAACCGTTTCCTGCAATACGCGCTTCCGTATACAGACTTCTTTGATATGACTTACCCCGGGGTCATGAATTGCTGTTTGTCGAAGTTCATCAACAATTCCAACCTCAACCCTAACCACCCCAACTCCAACTTTAACTCCAATAGGTTGGTGCTGAAATAATGTTTCGCTAATTTAAACGAAATCTGGATATTTTTTTCCCTTCTTTGATCACTTATTAAAAAGCAGGAACCCCGAACAAGGGCATTTCCTGTTCCGTTCCCATTCCATAAATTTGCCCAAAGTTCCTGAAAGTGTTCCGTTCCATAGATTAAAAACCGCGCATGCTCGCCTCTTTTTTTTAGCATTGCGTTTAAAACTCATTCTGTAGTGTATATTTTTTTTGTACTTGCAATTCTTAAAAAAAAAAGATTAACTTCTTTTCCTGCATTTTTACTTTGTAAGCTAATCATTTATTCGTGCTAAAATTATAATCATTTAAAAGTTCGATAGAAATTTTAGACTCAGAATAATATTTATTAGGCTTACAAGAAACATAAAATCTTATTGATTTTAGTTAATGTACGATAGAATTTTTACTTTTCAGAATAATATTTATTAGGCTTACAAGAAACATAAAATCTTATTGATTTTAGTTAATGTACGATAGAATTTTTACTTCTCAGAATGATATTTATTAGGCTTACAAGAAACATAAAATCTTATTGATTTTAGTTAATGTACGATAGAATTTTTACTTCTCAGAATGATATTTATTAGGCTTACAAGAAACATAAAATCTTATTGATTTTAGTTAATGTACGATAGAATTTTTACTTCTCAGAATGATATTTATTAGGCTTACAAGAAACATAGAATCTTATTGATTTTAGTTAATGTACGATAGAATTTTTACTTCTCAGAATGATATTTATTAGGCTTACAAGAAACATAGAATCTTATTGATTTTAGTTAATGTACGATAGAATTTTTACTTCTCAGAATGATATTTATTAGGCTTACAAGAAACATAAAATCTTATTGATTTTAGTTAATGTACGATAGAATTTTTACTTCTCAGAATGATATTTATTAGGCTTACAAGAAACATAGAATCTTATTGATTTTAGTTAATGTACGATAGAATTTTTACTTCTCAGAATGATATTTATTAGGCTTACAAGAAACATAGAATCTTATTGATTTTAGTTAATGTACGATAGAATTTTTACTTCTCAGAATGATATTTATTAGGCTTACAAGAAACATAAAATCTTATTGATTTTAGTTAATGTACGATAGAATTTTTACTTCTCAGAATAATATTTATTAGTCTTACAAGAAACATAAAATCTTATTGATTTTAGTTAATGTACGATAGAATTTTTACTTCTCAGAATGATATTTATTAGGCTACAAAAACGTAAAATTTTAGTAATATACAATATACGTAGTTTAAAAATTAATTGAATTTTTCATTTTTTATTTTAAACATTTTATTATTATTAGGGCTGTGCCGATCCATATATTTTTCACCGATCCATATATTTTTCACCGATCCTGTCCGATATTTTTTGATATCGCTTCAAAACCGATCCGATATCGATACAGATCCGATATTTATACTGATTTTTTATCACCCCCTTTTTGAACCAAATGTAATTAAGAAAGAAATCAATATTTTTTTATGCAAAAAATCGAATTATGAATTTAATTTAATTTTTTTTTTTATTTCTACAATTAAGACTATAATTTAAAAAAAAAAATATATTTAATATTATATCCATTTTATGTTGGTATGAATTATAAAATTGTAATATTTAATATATAAAATTATAATATATTAGACTTTTTTTTAATAAATATGAGAGCCGAGACCTGCAGAGGTATCGGGCCCGGCTTGGATCTTTTTCAAAATTTTTTACGGCCCGGCCCGGGTTTTATATTATAAGGCCATGACCGGTTTTTTTTCAAACTCGGGCCGGGCATTCTCTAGATTTTCTGGCAATAAGCCTCTAAGATATGCACTATCCATATCTTCTGCCCTACTGAAGGCAGACTCGGATGATTCCGCAGATAACGCATTTTCCAAAATTATCATTATCTTTTGTAAAATATTTCCCATAATTCAGATCTACATTTTAAAAAAAATACTTATATTCATAAATAATAAAATTGGCGTTATTATTTAATTAAAAGATTTAAAATAAATTAAACTTTGGGCCTCCCTTTGTATTTTTATAAAAAAAAACTTTTTACTATAAATCTATTTTAAAAAAGAATAAAATTTCTTTCTTTTTTTCTTTCTTTCTTTCTTTCTTTCTTTCTTTCTTTCTTCCTTCCTTCCTTCCTTCCTTCCTTCCTTCCTTCCTTCCTTCCTTCCTTCCTTCCTTCCTTCCTTCCTTCCTTCCTTCCTTCCTTCCTTCCTTCCTTCCTTCCTTCCTTCCTTCCTTCCTTCCTTCCTTCCTTCCTTCCTTCCTTCCTTCCTTCCATCCTTCCTTCCTTCCTTTCTTTCTTTCTTTCTTTCTTAAAATATTATAATAATGTAAAATAAATCATACACAACATAAAATAAAATGTCAAAAAAAAAAGAAAAGTAAAAATATCGGATCGGATCGGTTTTTTACAGGTGTCGGCCCGATTCGATATTTTTTAGAAAACGCTAAATACCGGTGCCGATCCGATATTTAATATCGGCACAGCCCTAATTATTATTAGCAAATTATGTATAAAATATTTTAAAAAAAATAATAATATAATTGTGTATATAAAAATAACTAAAATATAACTATGATATTTATATAGGATCGGTTTTTATAGATACAATTTTTTTTTTTAAATAAAATGGTAGATGATTGCCACCGAACTGATATTTAGTATCGACACTGTCCTAGAAATAGGTTACATTTTTTTGGATCAGTTGAATGTACGATGACATAGTTTATAGCTAAGGTCCAACCGTAAGCCCTTGTCAAATATCTCTTACTGGTGCACTCTAAGGGTCGGCACGGTTTCAATTGCCTGTATATAGTTATAGTAGAAGGGGGAGAACATCGAAACCATGCAGCAATCGATCCCACAAAAAGCTGGGCCATCGCCTCTCATTCTTAAGCGCGTTGCCCTCTAACTTACATTCACAGAGGATGGCATCGCTAAAAATTCTAACGGGAATTTAGGAAGAAAAAAAAATCCCTAATAGAGAATTACGAACGGGCGTCTTCCTTCTGAACAAATTTTTAATTCGAACAAACTCACCCTCCCTCCCCATTGGCTGAAACCCCTCCAATAAAAAAAAATGAATAAATAATTACTTTCTTTTACTCCGCCAGTAACATCAACAAATGGCAATTTCTCCCTCAAAATTAGACGCTTTTCCAACTAGGATAGGGAATCGCGGTTTACCCCTTTGTTTTTTGAACGCAATTTAAGCCTGTAAAAAATTTTTTAAAATTCTAATATACATGTTAGCGTCAATATGTTTTTTTCCCGGAAATGTTATTCTGATTCTACCGGAAACGCATGGCCGTCATGTTCGGATTACCTTACCCTACGAATTTCAGACAATTTTTTCCCGTAAACATTTAAACTTAATTAATAATTTTATAATTTAAAAAGTTTTTCCCACATATATATATATATATTTTATTATTAATATAAATATAAATTTCTAAATGACTCAAAAGTCACCGGTTTAAAATTATCTACAATTCATAAGATAGGTATTCCAATCATGCTTGGAATGTATTTCCGGTAAAATCAAAATTTTATTTTCAAATTTTTAAAAAAACGCGCTCGAAAAATAACATATGTAGGCCCCCGCACCTTGTCTTCTTCTTCGCTAATGCCGCTAAACGGCGTTATTGGCTTTTTTTAAAAGCGGCTAAACCCAATATTTTAGCCGAAACAAAAATAGCACGTGACGCAGAAAGGTTTGGATTGGACATCTATTTAACGAGATCTCGAGGACGCGCTTAAATATTTATTTTGCCCCGGACAAAAGTAGTTTTTTTTCCGAATCGAATCTCGATTTTAATTTCGTTTAACGTTAAAGTTTACCCTAAAATTTGCAAATCAGCTGTTGCTAAAATATCGGCGCGACGTTCTTCCTTTTTTTCCCCACTAAAAATGCCGGGTTTACCAATATTTTTTGATGCTTGGAGAGCGAGAGAGCGCTAGAACTTCTTTAAATTATTTAGGCAACCTGAAGATTTTACTGATAGGTGGGGCATATAGGCTTGGACATCTATTTAACAAAATCTTCATTATTTCGACTCAAAATTTTTAATCTAAAATAGGTAAAATCGCGACCTTTTATAAGCTACTTACTTCTCGCGATAAATGGCTTATTTTTTTGGTAGGGGGGGGGGGGTTATAGCTGTATGAGTTAGCGGTTATTTTTTTTAAAAAATAATCGCCATTCTTTCTTTTTTACATTGTAACGAATTTTCGATGCAAAAAACAAAAATACCGCGCTATTAAGTTGAAGTTGAAATATTTAGAAATTTTTTTTTTTTAAAAAAAGGACGTTATGATCAAGGATAAAATAATCGACTAGATTATAAATGTTAAAGATTGACATCGGACAACATGTCACTCAAAATAAATAATGACAGGGGAAATGGCTGAAGCGAATAATCGAAAGAAATAAATTCGAATTTTTTTAAAAAAGGAGAAATTATCTATTCCTAATTTATGATTTAAAATTGTATTTTCCTCGTTTTTATATATAAAAAAAATCAAGTTCCGTGTCGATCAAGAATCGAAACTCCATATCCATTATAGATGACGCTTTTGATACCGATTCTACGACTTTCGACCCCGCCATCAATTGCTGCTGTTGTTGCGCTTGCTGCGGTAAAATTCGATAGCATAGACTAAGAATTTTCTGATAAACTTTCTTTAAAGGGTAGAACCGTACCGATCCGTTATTTATTAGATATTCGCCTAAAATTAATCTTCAATACCGGTTATCGGTTTTGAATAAATATCGGGTCGGAAAATATTGGATCGACGATAATTTACGAATCGCGCAATCCTATTTTAAAGGTATCGTCGTTTAACCTTGGGACCTAAACCCGAGTTGTCAACACGGACTTAACAAGGACAGGTTTACTGGCAACCCATCTAACCCGACCTATTTTAGGACCTGGGGCTTGTTCGGACCTCTTAGAAAAAATCGTTTTCCAATTAAGATTCCCCTTAGCGAAATCCGCTAAGTAAATTTTAATTTTGTGCCCAAATTAGGAATTATATTTTTTTAAAGTCATTTTAACACTTTTTGGATAACGAGTTTGAGTACTATTTTTCATTCCCATGTTTGTATGCACAAATTGGATTTGATCTTTGTATACTCAATAATTTTTATCAGGAACCTCTAGAGTATCTATAGAGGGTTTAATAGGGGTTAATAAGGCACCCACATCTAGCTCATTTTATTTTCTATGGAGAATTCTAGGAAAAAATATTAAGCTTCGCTGTCTTCCCGGAGAATTTTTATATCAAGTAATTCTAGTCTCCTATGAAGAATGGGCAGATTGATAGCTAAAATGATGTATCTATTCTACAGGACTGTGTTAGGAGCGAGGGTAGAATTCAGATTGAGTGCATTGGTCTTTATAGCTTATGCACCGCCAGTCGCTTTATTAATAAATCATTGACAATATGTAAACTATAAATATAATCATAGAATTTATTCAATCATATTCCTAAATTTTGATTTAAGCATATCATATTATTATTTTTTTTAAAAATGGGAAAATACAAAGGAAAAAAAATTATAGTCGCAAAAGATTTGATTTCTATGACATTGAATAACAAACAGCACAAGGAATGCCAAGATGTTTAGAGAAAGAAAAATCTAGAATTAATATAAATTTAATTTTTAAAAATGATAGAAATTTAAGCGTAGTAATCAAAATGAACCCATTTGGGCAGTAGAGCCAGTCGACCATTTTTGATGATTTACCCGGTAAAATTCATCGGACAAAATTTTATTCGTTTATTCTTATGATATATACCATATCGATAAAAATTTCAGTTTAAAAATAAACGTGGTAGTTATCGTAAGTCATTTGGAACGTAAAGACCAATTGACTAGTATATAATACCTAGACTGGACGATGCATTCATACATCAAGGAAAACAGCTGGGGACGCCATTTTGATTACCCATATAGTTACTAATAATTTTAAAACCTATGGTCTGACACTCAAACTTTATCAAAGAATTTGCCTGATCATCGATGACAATGAGAAAGCAAAGTTATTAATTAACTATTATGGGTTACCAAAATGACGGCTTCAGCTGATTCGCATTTCAACGACGCTCTCAGGTGCATTATTATGAATGCAGCGTCGTCCGTCTAGGTATTATTATCCTGTCATTGTTAAAAGCGGAAATTTTTTTTAAATTTTCCTACAAAAAATAAACAATAAAGATAAGGAGACCAATACCAAAATGGTGTGCCGTACGTTCAATATGATAGGCCGATTGAATCCCAAGGGTGGAGATAACCACAATAACAGTCCTCCGCCTAGCAGCGAAAATGGGTTAGATGGAGCTAATATAGGTATTATTATATATTTTTTCTTCCCCCTTTATAACAAAAAGTTTCATATAAAGTAAGAAAGATAGAAACGAATAAATATAAAATTTTTAAATCTCATCCCACAAATCGAAGAAATAAAACATTGCGAATGCTGCTGCGCTCACAAATCGCCCAAAATGGTGGACGTTTGTCGATGCTGTGCCATTAATATGACGGCCCTCAAAAATCCCGACAACAAATCGCTGAATCCCCCTTCACGAGCCGTGGAGGAAGCCTTGGTTAAAATGGGAATGGGACCTCACTGCTTCAAGAATTACGATGGGAACATCATGCTAAAGCCCCTATGCAAAGTGGTCAATCCGGAGATTAAGCGGAGGATCATAGGGGACATATTTGTTCAGGTGATCGATTATTTCGACCTTTCATTTTTTATATTAAATTATCATTTGTATTTTTAGGTAGCCGATGACATTATCAGCGAAATGAAATTAGATGTCAATAACGTTTATTTCTGCCAAGGTACGCGTATTTATTCTATTTTTCTTTCCATTCTATATTTCCACATTTTATTTTTAATCCTCAAATTGTTCAATGCAATTTTTTTTTAAATAATATTTTTATCATAATTTCTTAATATATTTCCAGGGCTGCATCATTTTTTTTATTTTCCTTCAATTTTTCTTTTATAATTATCGAGAAAATCTAATGATTGAATCAATGGTTCTTGATTCATCCTTGAAATGATTCTCACTACAAAATATTTTTGTGCTTTAATCTATATTTTTCAAACATTTAAATTATTATTTTTTAAAATATAATTTAAATTTCTTATATCATATTTTAAATTGCTTAAATAATTTTTATATATATTTTTTTTTTTACAGTTTGGATTTATTCATTCATTAGAATTTATCGATAATGACATATTGTCAAAAATTACAGGGTCCCGGCTGAGCAAAATTTTGCCAAAATGATATTATTTCGTGACAGCTCCGAATTTTTATCTTAATTTTTTTTTTAGGTTTTAAAAATTCCTTATTTCGCTATTCAATTTATGGCGGGCAAAGATTTCGAAATAAACCGCGAAATCGAACTGAAACCCTTATATATACATTCAAACCGGTTCATAACGGCTTTTTAAATTAATAATGTTGATAGTGAAATTGAACACTGGGTTGCTCAGGTCGAAGAGATTGTTCAATATTTATGGCATTTTGGTGTCAGATCTTAGGAAGAAAGGAGAATTAGTTAAATACGAGAAGAGTTCCAAGAAATGAAATGGGGGAAAAAAAATTTTTTACTAAATTTTGGATTATTAACGCTCGCGACTATTATTTATTTTCCCTTTTTTAAAAATTATTTTTTAAAAACTTAAATAAAAAAAAACAAATAAAAAATTAATCGTAAAAGGAACATTAAGACCGGACCTGATCGAGAGTGCGAGTCATTTGGTGAGCTCGAAGGCGTCGGTTATAAAAACGCATCACAACGACACCAAGCTCATGAGAATGCTGAGAGCTCAGGTTTGTTAATTTTTTTGTCAGAGACCTGCAGGGGGGTCACCAGATGAACGGCCCAGCCGTCATTTTTTTTTCCTTTTCCGTACCGAACCCACCCCATTTTTTGTATGAAATTGGTTTTTTTTTTCTCGATAAAATTTAATATGGGGGAAGTATGAGACATAAGATGAATTTGATACATTTAAATATATATATCATTTCGTTTAGTGTTATTAAACGGCGCGTTTAGAACCGATTTTTAATAACAGCTGACTCAATATTTCATCTAGAATAATATTACGCAAGCCCCTGAAGATTTTTGCTTGTAGAAGGAACAAAGGTTCGGACATCTATTAGCGAAATCTCGCGGCTCGGGCGGTATTTTTCTGGGCTAAAATATTGAGTCAGCTGTTTTTTAAAAATCGGCTCGAAACGAGCCGTTTAACAAACACCTAATTTTGTTATTTTATTCCAGCTAATGATATAGCGATTTAAAATATTCGAACCGACCCGGTTTTCAAAAATTTCTGTTTTTTAAATTCGATAAAAGAAAGTTGGTTTTTTGACCTCTTCTCACGTGACAAATAAATACGGTTAAAAAGTTTCTTTACGAATTTAATTTTAATTTAAAAAAATTTTACGCAGGGTAAAGTGATCGAACCTCTCAAAGATTTCCACAAGGACGAAGTCAGATCCTTGGCTCGAGACTTGAAATTGCCTCAGGAAATCGTGGAACGGCATCCATTCCCGGGTAATAGCTTAAAAAAAAATTTTTTTTATCCGTGGTTTATAAAGTAACGCCAACCAAAGTAACTTGTAACTGTAGTAGTTGGTTTACCTATTAGGCTTTTTCGAGATTTCTAGATAAGGGTGAAAAAAATGTTAATAAATCGTAAAATAGGGAAGAAATTTAAATTGGGGTAAAACGCTGTTAAGTTTAGATTTATAATGTATGAATGAATGACAAATAATGATACCTAGACTGACGATGCATTCATTAAAGGTGCACATAAACGAAAAACAGCTGGGGACGCCATTTTGATTACCCATATCATTTTTTATTTTAAATTTAAAACGAGAGGCCAATTCATTTCCCCTACGTCTTGACGCAAACTTTATTAAAGAGTTGACCCGATCAACGATGATAAATAGTATATTTTTAACATGAGAATAATAACCATATGGTTTATTAAAAATGGCGGGTCCCAGCTGATTTGCATTCAATGACGCTCTCGGATGCATTTATTATATCGTCAGGTTTAGGTATTATTTATATGTCATTCGGTACAAATATAGATTGATGAAAAATGATGATATATTCATCATATTTCCATAAACTAGTGAATTTTTAATATCTCAATATTTTTATACTTAGAGATGTGCGAATAAATCAGATGAGCATTAAGGCGCGGTGAGCTATTTGCTCTCTTCGAAGAATTAAAAAATAAATCCTTGAGGCTGTGACAGATTTTGTTACAGCCGTTTATTTAACAAGCGATAACGACTTTTTTTTGCTTTTTCTAAGTCGGTTAAAACTATGTTTAGCCGTTTTTCTTTAGCTAACGAAAGGTACAATTTCGTTCTTTCTAAACCGCGGTTAAAAAAACTATGTTTAGCCATTTTTCTTTAGCTAACGAAAAGTACAATTTTGCTCTTTTCTAAGCCCCGGTTAAAACTATGTTTAACCATTCTTTAGCGAACGAAAACGACCTTCTGCTCTTTCTAAACCGCCGTTAAAAAAACTATGTTTAGCCATTTTTCTTTAGCTAACGAAAAGTACAATTCCGTTCTTTCTAAGCCCCGGTTAAAACTATGTTTTGCCATTCTTTAGCGAACGAAAACGACCTTCTGCTCTTTTTAAGTTTCGTTTAAAAACGATGTTTAGCCGTTTATTTAATCGCACAACTATTGATACTCTCTTTATACTCACTCATTTTTCAGGCCCTGGCCTTGCCATCAGGATAATCTGCGCCATGGAACCTTTCATCGACAAGACTTTCACCGAAACCAACTTTGTGCTCAAGTTACTCGTTCAGGTTTTGCCTGAGGAATATCCCAAGATTTGCCACGTATGTAAAAATTTTTTTCGAAATAAGAAAATCATCGATATTATTAATTTTATACATTTATAATATATTTTATTATTTTTTTTTTGGAAAAAAAAAGTCTAATACGATAGTTCAAAAACTGAGGGATACCCTGACAAGCAACGATCAGGCGACATTGGTGGCCATCTTGAAAAACGATAAGAACGTCAAATATTCGGCCATATTGCTTCCCGTTAAATCCGTAGGTGTTCAGGTTGACTAAACATAATTTTTTTTTGAATTACGAAGGAACCCAGCTATAATAGCAGAACTTGTATGGGCGCCTATAGAGGTTTCCGGTACTGAATATTTTATCCAAATATGCCCCGTATCTTTAGATGCAATCTCTTTCCTAGGGTTCTTGTTCATTCTAGAGATCTTCACCGAAATTATTTTCAAAAAATTTAGGCTCACTTAAAGACCGAAATAAAATCGGAACCCGGAGGGGGGGGGGGGGATCGGACTGAGCCCCGGAGATCACTCTCCTAATTCCGACATGTGTTTTTCGCATAAGGCTCAATTTTGATCACTGGATTTGACCCGTTTCATCATGTTCTCAACTCTGGCTAAGAGTTATTTTTATAAAGCTTTGGAAACCCTGATAAAACTTTCAATATTTTTTTTCACACTAAAAAAAACAATAGGGTGATAAAAGGAGTTACAGCTACGTTTGCGCTCTTTCTTGTTCCGACGACTCAAACGCGTCGTCTGACGCAGCGTTCATCCCTACGGATTCTAAGTGTTTGAATTGGGATCATTTGTTTTCCCTTGCTCAAATTATTCCAAAAGTATGCCATAATATCAACAGGTGATTTTGATAAATATCTTGTTATCATATTTTCCTTAGTCTACGTATTTTTTTATATATATATCTTAATTTATAATTTACAATTGTATATTCTCATGATTTTTTTTATCCTTTGCTTTTGTATATTCTTACTTAAGAATTTTACACTCAATTTTATTTGTTTTAATCTAATTTTTTTTTATATATAAGACACATTTTATTCATGTAAACAAAATATAAAAGTGAAATATACTTCTCCTATCAATTCACTTTGAAAAACAAATAGAAAAATACTATATGTAAAATAAACAAAATGCGTCATACGCATGTGTAATAAACGAACAATATACACACGTGTAATAAATAAACAGCATGCACACACGTGTAATATAAATAAACAACCTACGCATGTGTAATAAATAAACAACATGAACATGTGGAATAAATAAACAACATACACATGTGTAATAACAAACAATATACACATGTTTGATAAATAAACAACATAAGGAAAAAAAAACATAAACTACTAGACCTGCCATAATCAAAAAGTTTAGTTTGATGGATTTTTAATGACTTAAAATGATAAAAAGGCCATCATGCTTTATATAAGTATTGATAAAATATTTTGTAAAATTTACGAATTTAGCAAACTTTATTCGAATAATTATGCATATTTGCCTAAATCAAAATATAAAATAATTTAAATACAAACTCGAAAGAATATTATTTTATTTTAAAAGTTTCTTAACTTTGGAAATAAATTTCGCTTTACTAACTATTTTGGGCTTCTATGAACGAAGGGAGGACGCATGTTTTAGCAACGCTTATTCATTAAACTAAAAAAAAAAAAATTTCTCTAAGGCCACATTTTGAATGGGGAATTGGAATGGTTAATTATAAAAAAAAATTTTCTTTCTAAGTTTATTTCTGTAATGTTAAATTACTTAACTTAGACTATTTATATTGTGCCTTGATCAAGTTTTTAGCCTGAAAAATGGAATTTACTCTCTAAGTTGAGTTTCAACTTGAAGATTGATTCGAATATTGGTGAAGTAAAACATGGTTACGCTGTTTTATAGTTGACTAAAGTTGGGTAGTTAAACAACACTAATTTTGCTTGTGATTAGAGTTTAAAAATTGCATCCATTTTTAACCTGATAAAATTCTTTATTCATCATCAACAATATATCATTTGGTCTTCCTTATATACTTTTGGTAGAGGACAAAACATCCCGAGAAACATTACTCTATTCCAACATTTTCTCTCTTTTAAATTGTAAATATGATAAAGCGATAATGAATTATAATACATCATAACAACAAAGAAGTGATAAATAGAATCAGATTTATATTTGACAGTTCAAGATAAAAATTATTGTAAACAAACAAAAGTTTACCTATTTAAAATAGGTTTAATTATTTTAAGGCAATGAGGGTTATTAGCTAGTATATATTTATTTATATATATATTTATATATATTATTTTATTTGAGATTTAGATAAAGATATATCTTCACTTTTCATATTTTTTATTAAATAAATCCATAGTTTAAATAACCAACTTCCATACCTACCTTAATGTAATCTCTTTTTTTAAAATATGATTATTAATTTTTTTCAAAGTAAAACATTATTAAAATACATAATTTAATAATATTTAATCCGCAGGTTGGCGTTAATTGTTTAATAAATTATACCATAATATATATATTAAATATTATAAATACCATAAAGGAATATCTAAATATAAAGGCTAAAAGTATTATAAAATAAGTTCACTAGCCAATAAAGTCAAGTGTGGATATTACGAAATACAATACGATATTGAATAGTATATTCACCGGTCAAATATGTTCAAAATTCAAATAAAAAGATTTTTAAGAGAACATTAACACGCTTGAAATAGTTTGATCATACCCACCTTGTAAAATGTCTAATTCTTGTATTACATACCTCTTGGATGCCCCCCCCCCTAAATATTAGGGGACCAATAAATAAGCATTATTGGGATCACGTGATGTTATTTCTTCCTTTTTTCAGACATATTTTTCATTTTTTTTTCAAGAATACGTCCATCATATTTATATTTAACATTTCGGAGGCAATAAAAACATTTATTTATTTTATCTTTTTTTTACGGGTAATTATATAAACGTTGAACCTTTTTTATCTGTTAAATCTCTTTGAATTCTTAGCGGCGCGATTGCGATCGCGATTTAACAGCTGATCGATTTTTAAAATCATCTGTTCATTTTAATTCAATTCATAGTAATAATCTAAGAAATGATGATTTTAATTTAAAAAAATTGATTTCATAAACATATTTTAAAAAAACTGTCAGCTGTTAGATCACGTTCACAATGGCGCCACTATGAATTCAAGGTAATGAGGCAAATTAAGGAAAAGGTAAAGTACATCTGTCAATCAAGTAAATATGAATTGGCATAAAAATTATAAAGGTATTGCAAAACTATTATACCAAATATCCAATAAACAGCTGACATTCTATATCATATTAAATTGATATTCATATTTTATTTACACCCTTACGAATGGAATCTCATATGGTATTTTTATTCTAGATTGTATAAACATCTTCTTTTTTTAAAACATTATATTTTTTGGTTAAAATTTTTATAATTTTGCTATGGCGAAGGAATACTGAGAAATATGGTATTATTTATTATAAATTTTGAGAATGACATAATTACATTGGAAATATTCTAAGAAACCTGTGGAATAATAATAAATGTAAATAAAATAATGTGCAATAAAAAAAATTGCTTATCAAGTTTGGTTTCTCATCATTAAATTATTTTTTAAAGAAAAATCATATGGTGATTACTTTATCATTCATTTCCCCAAGTCTGTTATTGTTAATAAATTATTAGAAAAATAATATATCATTTTGTTTTAGTTTAGGCTTTTCTATTTAAATATGGGATAAGCGTTACCTCGAATCCCGATTTAACAGCTGACAGCAGTTTAATCCTGTTTTATGGCATCAATTTTTCTCTATTAAAATCCTTATTTCTCAGATCATTATTATGGAATTGAGAATTAAAGATAAAAAAAAACATAGTTTTAAAAAAAATCGATCAGCTGTTAAATCGCGATCACAATCGCGCTGCTACGAATTCAAGGTCACAATTTATAACCGAAATCTAAAAAAAATTTAAACACCGTGTCGTATTGGGATATGGAATCATGTGGGATTCGGAATCCCAAACTAGGAGATTCGAGATCTTGAATCCCCACGTTTGATTCGGGATATATATTTTTTTTAAATATTTGGAATCCCCATGAAAAAAATAATAAAATATTATAATTACTTTTTCTTCTCTTATTTTCCGGCTGGCTTCATTATAATTAAAAGGCCAAAATAAGGGATTTAAAAAGAGAATTTAAAAAAATAGTATAAAATGAAGGCATATAATAAATAAAAAGAAATAAATAAAATAATACGCCAGCTTGCGGATTTAATTTTATATAATTTATATTGTAAAATTTTAGTTTTTTTTAAAAAAAATAATATTTAACTATTATTAATTTATGTTACCATCAGACCCCCCCCCCCCTTCTTCCTATGGCTATGGCCCTGGCTCTAATATACATTCTATTCAACGATTATAATATATCCAAAATATCATAAAATTTATAAAAGAAAAAAATTATTTATAATTTAATTTCTATTCTATATCTAAAAAAAAATATGTACAAAAAATAATAAAATATTTTAAAAAAAGGATGTAACTTTGCCTATTTTATTTATAGCATGGCATGTCATGGCATAAATAATATTAAATAATAATTTAAAAAAATTACATTATGCGATAAATAAAATAGGAACTTGTTGAAATTTATTTTTTTAAATAATAATAATTTCTTTTTATTTGTAATTGTATTGTTTAATTTATTTTTTTTCATTTATAAAATAATAATTGAAAATATAAGATAGAAATGCTATAAAAAAACAAATTTTATTAAATAAAAAATAAAAAGAATCAGCACAGACTTTGCAAAAAAAAAAAAAATTGGTGGGGGAGAATGGAGTAATCTGGTGAAGATTTTATATGCTGTTATATAAAATTTAATAAATAAATATATTTTTGGTATCACGTAATTACAGAGAAACCATTACAGAGAAATTATAGAGAAACTTTTACAGAGAAAACAATTATAGAGAATGTCGTTTATAGAGATTTATTTTACAGAGAATGATTTTATAGAGAATTTTTTATAAATAATTTTATTTAAGGAATGATTATTTTATAAAAAATGTTAATCTATTTTGTATAAATTTGTTGCGCATACATAGGGGAAAAAAAATACACTATTTGTATTAATGTTACATATTATAATTACCTTATATAAGAGAATAATTGGGTATTTTTTATTGTAATGAAATGAAAGGTTATTAATCAAACAATTGTTAAAAATTTTTATAGATGTTGAGGAATTTATCAACATTCTCAAACAAAGTAGGGCCAATTAATGAGAATTAATTGAATATATGTTTAATCATTAATTAGGTTTTTATTAAAATCTTATGATACTATTAAAAATATAATATTTCATTATATAAATTAACCTTCATGCAATTTTATCTTCATAATATTCATTTAATAACTAAAAAAAAATTAATGCTAATAATAAAGTAAATTACAACCTATATATCCTGATACACCAGAGTTGTTATGATACTTTTCATATTTATCTAGATAGATACATGGTCTAAAAAGCTCACTATACCAAGATTTATAAATACAATTTTCTATTTTAATCATGTAAGATGAGTGTAAAATATCAAAATAAAATTTATTCAGTTTGATATTTCATATATAAAAGAAAATTTGTTTATTAAAACAGTTTTCTATACCAAATCCTAAATTATGCTATTATTTATTTTTTTTTACATAATATTTTATTTCTAAAGATAATATTGGCTGAGAGATAGTAAAATAAATTGCAAGGGTCCTAGGAAAAACATTCAATACGCAGTTATATTATTGCATCACTGATTTAAAATCAATGAAAGGCTTCAAATTACGGCTAAACCGTTTTACAACACTAATCACAAATAAATTAATTATTGGCTTAAAAGTAGGCTTGAGTCAACTCTTGAGTCTGAGTCAAATTTTTCGATTCAAAATTTGACTGAGTTTAGGGATAAGCCGGCATGGCGGCCAAGAAGCCGGCTTGGCTCAGCCGTTTAACAACACTCGTAAGCCAAGAAGCGGGTTAGGATCAGCCGTTTAACAACACTAATCACAAATCGGCTTGAGCAAACTCTTGAGCCTGAGCAAATTTTTTGGCTACGACCTCGAGGTCGGAGCCGATAAAACTCGGCTTTTTAACAACACTATATTGCAGCCCGTTTAAATTATCTTTATTTTCTTTCGTATGTAACAATTACAACACCAAATCACGTGATTAAATTATTTTTTTTTATAAACAGTGAAGAAAAAATGAATAAATAAAACAAACTGTATTCTTCTCGAAAAAAAAATATATTTGAAAAACGTCCATAAATGTCAATTGTAAATCGACAGATAACAACACACTCCAACTCCAGCATTATTATATATCACACAAAAACTAGAAAATTTAAGAAATATATTGCACAAAAAGCATATGTTTTTTTTTATATATGAAGCGGAAATAAGAAAATACTGAGAAACGTTGAGTATATGTGTGTCATATGGGGGTATGGAATTCGTGGGGATTCGGAATCTCTTGATTTAAAATCCTTTACCGAGGGCGAATTAATAAAAAAATTTTAAATCCGATTTAACCCGGAAATGTATTCTAAGGATGCTTGGAGTTTTTACCCTCTAAATTTCAGCCATAGACATTTTCGGTATTTTTTTTAATTTATATGAAAAATCCACTTAGGAGCAGTTCTAAAGTTCGTGGCAAAATTGTTTGAAATAGACAGTTTGGGTACTCTATTACTTGCCGGAAATACGATTCCTGTAAAATGAGATTTTCCAAATCTAATAATCGCCCTTAGTTAAATGATTTTATGATTGAGAGATTCCGAATCCCCATACGACATATATATACATACAAATTATACGTGTGTTATATTTTTAATACATTTTATTTTTTTATTCTTTGTCATTTATGAATTCAGAGTTGTATACGCTTTCGGCCCCGAATGTAAACTCCCGGTTACGGAAATAGTTCCCACTTTGGTGACTCCCAAAACGCTGGGCACGCTCAGGTTAGCCGACTACGTAGCCCACGAATGCCTACACCATTGTGCCCCCGGACCTAACAGGGAACAGATTAAAAAGGTTTCCTCTTTTCCCACCACCACCCCCCCCCCTCTTCAGCGTTCGAGCGTCAATTTCCATTTTAAAGGGAAGATATTTAAGGGTCTAAAAAGTGAATGGTACTCTTTGGCTCATTTATGAAATCACTTCCTAGATACCCACGCCCCCCCCCCGGGACATGATTGAGGGAATAAATTATTTATTTTTAAAAAAGAAGGTTAATTAATTTTTAACACTTTGCAGATCGGTCAAATGCCTGTTGTCATGCTACCTTTGCAATTGGATCCCACGCCACCCGTATCGGGTGATGATCCGGTCCTTAGATGCATAGTGCTTAGACCTTTCGTGAGTGCCGACTTTATGACCGGGGTAGCTGCGAGACCCGGCGTTCATTTACCCTTTCAGGTTCGGAAATTTTTTTCAATTTATAAAATTTGTTACTAATGATATTAATACTAATTTAAACCGCATTCGTCGTAATAAATATGATATTTAGCGAAACGCCTTTCAATGGCGTCTATACTACAGCTGACATCGATGTCTGTAACACTTCTAATAAACGAATCAGGGTTATTCCATGTCAAATCAGAAAAAACCTATATGCAGACGACCCCTTACGATATAAAAATTCTGTTATCTATAATTTGGACCAAATATTGGCCTCCTCTTAGCTTCTATACTTTCGAAGATATTTAGGATACCGCATGAGAAATTTTTTTTTGGCCAATGTCGCCTGTAATCATTAAATAAAATAATTGATTAAAAATTACGCAATTATATATCAAAATTAGTGTTGTCAAGCGGCTCGTTTTGAGCCGATTTTTAAAATAGCTAACTCATATGTTTTAGCCAGAAAAATATTGCCTCAGCCTCGAGATTTTGATAATAAATGTCTAAAACCTTGGCTCCTTCTATTAGCAAAATCTTCAGGTTGTAATATTTTTTCTGGATGAAGTATTGAATTAGCAGTTTTTAAAAATTGGCTCAAAACGAGCCGTTTAACAACAACTAATCAAAAAGAAGCCTGTATTTTTTTAAAATTTTCTAGGACTTTTATAAAGCAAAAATGGGCATCTCAGATTTTTTTTTATTCGGATCTACATTACTATTACCACCATTATATATGGGTGTAAAAAAAAATATTTGAGGGAAGTCTTTTACTACTTCATAAATAAAATCGAAAAAAATTAAGTAATTTTTTTTTTTATATTAGCGTTTTATTTTAATTAACCGAATATTCAGAATAATGTTTCTATATTTCTATATAATGACAACCTATCTACGCGAAGTTACCATCTACCAGACCATAAATTTTTATATAATTATAAAAAATATGTTGTTTATACATAATTATAAGGCTTGCTTTATTAATAATTAATTTTCGTTCCTTATTTCATATTATGTCAACATTTTTTTTTTAATATCTCGTTCGGATCGGGGAAAGGCACCTGTTTCATTCTAAAAAAAACGAAATATATGAATTAGAATACCGATTTAATAAATAAAAAAAAATGGCGTACTTTTGTATATATTCTAATTTTTCGGTTGCATGCAAACCTTTCCTGGGGGGGGGGCGTGTAAGTTACTTCCTGTCGGCGTGAAACTGTGGTTAAAATTTGCTACTCGGGTAGATGAAGAGTGTCGCCTATACATTGGTGATGTCCGCAAGGGTGTTCCGTTTTCTCATTCTTTTTTTCATGACTAAAGCCAATAACCAATTTGAGTCATATATGCATGTCATGGTAGCCCAATATATTTTTAAACGTATTACTTTCATCTTCGTTACCCCAAATTTCCTATTGTAGTTTTTGTTGCACTCGTATACATTTTTTTTACATAAAACGTTCCGATCCAAGAGGAATCCGCTACATGAATTTTTGTTCCTGCGATTGGCCTTGCTTTCAAAAATAGTTATTAAAAGATAACTTCCTCTGCATCTTATAACTCACCTTTTGTCATGAATTCAAGTTTATATTATTATTTGGAAAGCTCCATTGGTGCTGTTATTTGATCAGCTCGGGTCCCCTGTAAACTGGCTCTTGGTGCTAGCCTTTTCACTCTGCCTCCAACACTGCCACATGCGCTAACTTTCGTGCGCAGTAGCGGGAAAATGTCATTCTGTTGGAATGTCAAAATCTTTCGAGTGATGACAATATATTTGAAAAGTTTTTTTCAATTTTTATACTGGGCTTCCGATTCGTAGGGAAAAATTTTGTAGAAATTATCACGTAGAAACATTATTACGAATATTAGGTTAATTAAAATGAAACGCCATCTATAGTATAAAAAAATATTTTTCATTTTTTTTACTAGTTTTTGTTGATTTTGCTTATGAAGTCATAGAGACTTCACTCTAATTTTTTTTTAAACAATAATATAAAATGGTGATTGTAATGTTTATCCTAAATTTTATTTTTTAAAAAAAATCGGATATTCCCGATTTTTCTTGGGGGGGATTTTAAATTTAATTCTGTAAGTAAGAAGTCTAGAAAATTTTTTAACCTAATTTGATGCAAGATTCATCAAATATAATTGCTTAATCAAAAGTATCAGAGGCTAGGAGGCTAAAAATTTTGCCCAAATACAGATTATACGATCTTTAAGCTGTATGCGAAATTATATGAATACCTAAAACGATCGGCCAAATCCTGATCGATTATGCATGAAATGACCCATTATCCATCTTAAGTTAAAATATGGTTAATTTACCTTAGTTCAATCATGCAAAATATAAAAATGAAAAAAAAATAGATCTTGGACGAAATGGTCGATAAAATAACGAACACGGTGGAAGGGGTTTCGCGGGTTTTATACGATTTAACTGCTAAGCCTCCCGGGACGACGGAATGGGAGTAAGACAATCGCCTCAGTAATCCCTAAATTTACAGAAATATTTTAAAACAATATTCTATACTCCTCTTCTTCGTTTTTTTTAAAAATATGATTATAAAACACAATGCTTGACTTTAATAAAGGTATGTTATAATAATTATTACTGTAGCTCGATATTACGATAATATTTTGTATATAAAGCATATTTTATATATATATAAATTACTATATCTCATTGTTTTTTTTTTATTGTGTCTTGTTTATTAATAATAATAATAAAAAAATTAAATATGCTGACTATATTATTGATAATTTAAGAAACACATGTTATTGAGAATAAATATTGTTTCTTAGACGGCTCAATTTGAGCCGATTTTCTAGGGTTTAACTAAATACTGCAAAAAAAAATGCTAAGATTGACATCACGTCGATCTAGAGTTGGAGTGCTCTACTCGACATTTTTCAAAATTTTTGAGTCATAAGTGGATAATAACTTATTTATTCCTCCCAATATATATATAAATGAAAACTAAGATTTAAAAAAATATATATTAATTTTTGCCAAAGGTATAGCTCTGTCAAAAATTGATCAATAAGGCTTTTCCTATATTTGATTTTAAAACTTTAATGCTTGAGTTTCTCATTTTAAACATTTTCGCAAGTGGAGCACTTCAATTCTAGGCTGACGATGAGGTAAGAAGTAAAATTATAGAAGGCACTGAATATCTAGGCCCGTCACTATGTGCATGATTAATATACTTACTAATTTATCAGGCAGTTTTTCCAGTTAATAAAAAAAAAACCAGTTATAACGAAAATAAAAATAACGGCACATCTTAGGCCGAGTGTCTTAAATATTGGATTTTAAATTACTATTCAAAAGTTAATTAACTTTTCTCTAAATATAAATAAATATCTCCCCCCCCCCCTATCCACGATCATAAACATTTTTTTGAATTTTAAGGATTCTACTATCTTTATAAGATATTTTTATTTGTTGTTTATTTGACGCTGTGCCGTATCTTAATGACTTTCGAATTGAACTGTCCTTTTCAGGAATTAATTTGTTTTACTTTTATTTTTCTTTAAACAAATTGACACCGAAACTTTAATTAGTCTATTTATTTTTTTCTTAAACAGAAATTATTAAAATTACAATTTCAAAAAAAATTAAAAATTAATCCAAAAATTACAAATTATATTTTCCAACAAAAAAAATATCCTCGACTCACCATGAGTCTTCTCTTTCTTAAAACAAATAATTTCGCGTATATTACAATATTTATCCGCGCCATAAAATAATTTCACGACAAAAAATAAACAACAAAAATAATATTGTGACAGTTTACAAGTTTATTTAATCGATATAGAAAGTGTAAGATAGTTTTAAATCTAATATATTTCAAAAATTTGGTATGAATTTGATATTAAAAGTTTCTTAAACTTTTGAAAGCACTAATTCCAAAGCTTAGATTAATATGTAACGCTTTAGGCTTTAATTTAATCTTCAATCAGCCTGGGTAAACGAATAAATTTAAATGTTTTTAGAAAAATACGAAAATTACTGATATTCATATTATCTAGATTCAAGAAAGAACGAAAATTCTAGAAGAACCGAAACAATTATAATAAAAAAGAAAATTAAATAAAACGAAATAAGTTACTACTATCACTAGTGTTAATATTTTAGCCTAAGAAATATTGCATAAGTCTCCAGATTTCGATATTAGATGTCTAGGACCTTTGTGCCATCTGTGAGCAAAATCTTCAGGATTGAGTAATCTAGCCGTTTTTAAAAAATCAAGCCGTTAAACAACACTACTCGACATTCTTCTTTATCATTGATATGGTCCCACAGTCATGGGGTTTGTTTTGATAAGTTTCTTCCATCTTGATCGAGTAAGGGCCCTGTCCGAATTTATCTTCTTAGTCATCATAACTTTGTCTACTTGACTTTTCCACGTAACACGAGGTCGCCCTCTTCCTCTCTTCCCCGGCACCTCTATGTCCAATTATTTTCGATTACATCATTCGTCTCCCTTCTTAGTATATGACCATACCACCTTAACCGATTTTCGTTTATCAAGTCCGCCATAGGTTGAATACCCATTTTTGCTCTGAGACAGTCATTCGTCATATGGTCGAGTTTAGTATACTCCAAGCTCCACCGTATCATTCTCATCTCCGTGGCTTGAAATAAATTTTCTTCCGTAGCGTTTAATGCCCATGTTTCACTTCCATAGAGTAACACCGATCTTACGATGGATATGTAAGCTTTACTTTTCAACCATATTGGCATCTTCTTGTCGCACATTACACCGGATATACTTCGCCATTTAAGCCATCCTTTTTGAATCCGTGCATTGACTTCTTTTGCGCAACCTCCCTCTTGTTGTAGCATCGAGCCTAGGTATGTAAACCTGTCTACTTTTGGGTCCTTCAATTGGTCATCGAGGGATAGGGTGCCTGTAACGTTCATCTCCATGTATACCGTTTTTCGATTGTTGACCTTTAAATCATATCCAACTAAGCGTTTTGACCACTTTTCGGCTTCTTTGAATACTTTTTGTCTCTTCGCATCTATCGGCATATAGCATACACCAAGGAGATGGCTTTTGGATGTCTCTCGTTATCGTGTCCATAATTATATTGAATAAAAAGGGACTTAGAGCAGATCCTTAATGTAATCCAATTTCAATCCGAAAAGGTTAAGTCTCCAACTGTCTTTCTAACACAAGAAGTTGAAGCTTCATAGATATTTTTCATAAGCCGTATATGTGCGTCAGGGATATTTTGTTTTCTCAAGCACCACTATATTAAATCGCGAGGGACCGTGTCATAAGCTTTCTTCTAGTCAATAAAGACCATATGTAGGTTTCTTTTCTCCATCATTTGTCTTAGTGCGAAGATCGAATCGATTGTGGATTTGCCGGCCACAAGTCCGAATAAGTTAGTCGATATTTCCACCTCGTTCTTCAGCCTTGTAACTAAGATCCTTTCCATAAGTTTCAAGGAGTGGCAAGTTAGCTGGATACCTATGTAATTACCACACTCCTGAGGGTCTCCTTGTCTTTGAATAAGGGCATAATCGTGCTTGCTCTCCATTGATTAGGAATTCGTTCTTCTCCCAATATCTTGTTAAAGAGGTTCGCCATGGTAGTGACTCCTTCTTCCCGGCATCCGACCCATGCTTCCATAGGAATTCCATCTGGGCCATTAGCTTTTCCTTTTTGCATCTTGTTCATTTGCGTCCTCACTTCATCCACCTGAAAGAGTTCGACCATACTTATGTTTGGCTCAATATCGGGAAGGAAATCTTTGTCATTAGCAATATTCATAAGTTCCTTGAAATATCCTTTCCACCTTTCCATCACCTCCTTCGGCTTGAATAAGGTTTGACCCTCCTCATTTTTGACTATTTTAAGGACTCCGACATCGCGACTTTTCTTCTACCTTATCTTGGTCAATTTGTACATAAGCCTGTCGCCCCCTTTATGATCCAGTTTGTTTGCCATCTCGGTGTACGCAGCATTCTTCGCTATTGCAACGGCCTTCTTCGCAGCTCTCTTTGCCTCCCTATATTCTTTGTAATCCTCCGACTTTTTAGATTTATGCCATCGTCTATATAGAATTTCCTTTCTTTCGATAACCCTATTCAAAGCTTTGCCTCCTTTGGATCTGTCCTAGAATCTGAATCGTCGTTTCTTTTATGTCTGCAGTTAGCGTCTTCCAATCGTCGTCTACGTTTCTTTCTAACTTGCTGGCACCCAAGAGTGTGGAGGCTTTCTGATGGTGTTTATCGTTTGTCGGCATGTCCTTTAGCATTTCATACCTAATTCGAGGTTAATAAACCTTTCTTCTTTCCGGAAACCCTTTTCTTTCAAGATCCGTGACAAGTGGACGATGTTGCCTGGCGATTTCATCTCCCGGTATTACCATGCAATCTTTGATCCTCCATAAATCCTTTCGCCGTATAAGCAGATAGTCAATTTGACTAAAATGCTTTCCACTTCTATAAGTCACAATATGACTCCTAAGATCTCTTAATTTTAACAACTCTGGCCATGAATGGTTAGATTCATATCCCAGTATTTTAAATAACCAGCTAATAGATAACGACGCATTTCATTATGCAATCAATTTACGCTTGGGCGTACTTTTCCTAAACCATTATATGTGCATTAAATGCAATCAATCGTCACACGCGTATGAGAGACACGCTCTCCACTGTAAATTTATATCAAAATTCAGCTGACATGATAAAATAAATGCAATAATAGCTTCTTTTTGAAATAAAGCCAATTTTCACAGTTAGAACCTACATCCTTTTTAGATAAAAAACGCCCTGATGGCAAAACCGTCCTACCATTTTACATGGGAAAGCCTTTAATGTGGGATTTTACCTGCAATGATCCCATGGCTCCATCTAATAATTCCCGTGATCCCCTTAACAGAGCCGAATCTCTGAAAAATATAAAATACTCACACCTAATGTGTGATAACCACTTTGTTCCTATAGCAGCTACATCAACTTGCTCTTTTGGACACAGGCTTTAGATCTATTCAAGACAATATCCAAATCAATAAAAAAAAATCATACCTTTCTTCATTTTACAAACTCAAGCAGAAAGTCGCCGTATCTATAAATAGAGCTAATTATCAAATATTTAAAACATCATGGCCCGACCTCCATTTTATTTATTTTTTTTTTAAAATTGTTTTTTTTTTCTTTTTATAAAAATATACATTTGAATCTTCTTTTGTTTTTTAACTTAAACTGATATATGACATATTTTATTATATTCTATATTATTATAATTATTAATTTTTAAATAATAATATTTTATCATATTTGTATATGAATTTTAATAAAAAATTGAATTCTTAAAATAATTGCTGGAAATTTTTCTTCCTACAACGAACCCTTTAAACTTATATATTTTTTTTAAAAAAAATGGAATAATGTATTCTAACAGGACTCCTGGTTAGTTTAGCCCCAGTCTCATCTGCCCTACCATGCTGGAATATTATTACGGAAAACGCAGGTATTTTTAAAAATTGAGAAATAAGAAACACTACCCGGTTTACTAACGGATAGTTTCGAATTTTATAAAACCCCTAAGTTATATTTATTATACAACACTTTCCCCTCATAATAATATAATTAAGCCATAGAAAGTAGGCCTATAGTTTAAACAAAAGAATTTAGTGAGAAAAAAAAAGGGGGCTGGAGATTTTTATTGGACTTTATGAACATATGATTCACGCATACTACTCAATTAAATTTTTTTTTTTTAAAAAACACTAAGAAATCCTATTAAACCTAATTGATATTTTCCTTAAGTATTATTAAATATTATGAGTTGTTAAAAGATCTAGATACAAAAAATCTGTATCTAGATCCATTTAAAAAGTATCTTTTAACAACTCTGATTATTATTAATCAATTTGATGTAGTCACCATCGGTTCATCACATTAGATAGTTCCGTATTAAAGTATGTTACTGTGCCAGCTAAGCTGACCCTAGGTAACGTGGATTGAAGTATATTCGACAATAACAATTTTTCACTTGGAACCTTAAGATTTGATAGCAAAGAAAAAAATATTTGTAAAGGTGAACAAATAAGAGTATTATTTATTTTTTTATAAATATAATAATATTTTATTTTATTTTTGGAGAAGTGACACCAATAGTATTGTTCATCTCAATTAATTTCACTTCCTATTTTTTAAATGAGAATTTAATTTTGACATTATATTAAAATTTGAAAGGGGGGGGGGGGTACAATCTTTTATTATTTTTTTTCCGAGATTATAATAACCTTTTAAATTAAAACACATCTATATAATTTTTTTTACCGTTAGATTTAATATTTTTTTTTAAAAAAAAGACACAATAAACCAATATGCCGTGGAGATTTTCAGCTGACATTCCTAACCTGAACGATATAATCAGTCATCAGAACAAGTTATACGATGGGTTAGAAAAAGTTAATATGATTATTAATTGCGATATGCGGGAAAACTTGATTCCCATTGACAGACGACTCAAACTTATATTTATGTGCATGTATCCAATCCTGCTAATTATAGGTCTAATCGGTAATGGGGCGGGATTTTACATCGCGATGAAGGGCAACCATTCGCGCGTTGCAGTGCAATTGAGCAGAGCATTTTATTCGATCAACATCGTAAATTACTTCTTCATGTTTCTCTACCCTATCCTGGATACCGCGGCCGAATATCGTTTGGCTTCTTTCTGGTTACAGAGACCTTGGAAGGAATATTTGTCGAGTTATCATTTCCCGTTGGCCAAAATCTTTGTCAATTTATCCTTCGCCATATACATTTTGCTCGCCTTGTCGCAAACGATGGCAACCGTGTACCCCCATTTATATAGGCGTCACGTTACCGTATTTAGAATGAGAGTGTTGTTGTGCCTGTGCTTTTCCTATCTCATGTTTTGGCTATTACCCTCGGGGTGGTGGTTCGATAATATTCCAATCAATTATATATGCGGACTCGGCAATTCCACGATCTACACTAGGCAATTCGCATTTTACGCCCCCGCAGCCAAAAAGCGCTGGATTTTATACGGATTCGTCCGGGAATTTACCACTAAATATTTACCGCTTTGCGCGATAGCGTTTTTTATTTACTATTCCCTCATGCGCCAAAGGTCTTTATTAAATTTGAGCGTGCAAAACACGATTAGCTTGATTTCTGTTCCGACTGGGTCCAATGTAAAAGTAGCGGGAGCCGCTAATCCCGCCACCAAAAATGTCAACCATATCCAAAGAGAAGCGACATCATCCGAAGTTAGAAGAGAACCACTGGGCGGTTCCAGTAACATCGGGAACAACAATAAGATGGTCGCTATATCCAAACTAATCAACGCGCATTTGGTCTACAATCTAATCCTCCAAGCAAATATGTATTGCAACTCCGCGGAGAGGCTGGCAAAGAGACGCAAAGACTTTAAGATATGTTTCAGTATGCTGTTCATTTTGATGCTGCAATTTGTCATATTTTTGCTACCATTTTCGATCTACATAACCACCGTAGACTTTTACGATCATCATCTATCAAACATCGATTTCGATATAGCCTTTGCTGCCTTTACGTTCATAGAGTATGCGTTCATATCTTTGACCTTTTACCTGAACGTGATATTAAATCCTGCCTATAAGGAAGAAGTGGTTAGGGGATTCAAACTTTCTCTATTCTACAAATGTTTTCGTGATCACCGATAAAAAGAATTTTTATCTTGAACAGAAGCGCAAATTTTACAAAAACACTTATTTATGTATATATACACATATTATAATCCTTTGTAATTGTACCCAAAATCAATACATTTTAATCTTCTTGTTGTTGCCGTCAATAAATTTTATGTTAAATGTTGTAATAATTGTATATTAATAATATCAAAATAAAACTATGTGTATATTTTGTTTTACCTTCTCTTATGTCTATGATAAAAGTCAAAAATGATTACAAAATTACGAAATAAGTTATATTAGTAAAATTTTTGCCGTCAAGTTCCCTTTTAGCGTAAACGTTATAATTGGGACCAAAATAACGTAAGTCTATCATCAATTAATGGCGTATGCGATGTGCAAATTTCTATTTAAGGATATCCAGAGCCGAGTTTCGAACCGAACTCGGAAAAGAAAACCCGGGTTTTTGGAAAAACAATCTGAACCCGAACCGAACCCGGGAATTTTATTTGAATTCGGGTTCAACCGGTTTCAGTGTATTGTTTAAATTAATATAAGATAATTTGTATAATTTCTAATACAAATATTAATAATTTACTTGACATTTTTATAATATTTTCAAATTTCCCATTTAAGTGAAGTGTTAATAAATTTTAAACAACTTAATTCATTCACTCCATTTTTAAATTTTTTTTAAATTTATTCTCGAAGATTCCTATTGGAGTGTTAATAAATTTACGAACCAATCAAATTCATTTACGCCATTTATTTTTAATTTTTAACTTATTCTCAAAGATTATTAAAATTAGAGGAAAATGAAAGTGAACAAGTCTAAGTAAAAATTATTATATTGGATTATTGTTAATTTAAAGAAATACGTCTAAATAAAATTTTTAAAATTGATACATGACAATGCTTTGTTATTTTAACTTATATTTCGCCTATAAATAAAATAAAAAAAATTAATTTTTTTATATCAAATCTATGTTAATATTTCAATTATGATTTAAATATAGAATATTTTTTTTATCAATTCAAATTCTTAAACCCGAGTTGAAGCCGGAACCAAACCCAAAACTGTTTCCCTAAACCGAACCCGACCCGAACCCGACCCGAACCCACCTTTTTTAAACCGAACCCGACCCCAGGC